GCCCCCCCCCCCCCCCCCCCCCCCCCCCCCCCCCCCCCCCGCCTGCCCTGCTTCCTTCAGTCTCTTCCCGGCACAGTGTCCAGAGTGTCCCTGCTACATGGTGTCAGATATTCTCACTCCTCTGCTCAAAACTCTTCAATGACTTTCCACCTCACTTGGAGGTTTACAAAGATAAAGAGGCAAAGAACTTCCCTAAAGGTCTCCATGGCCTGTCTCCCTGGACCCTTATTTTTCTCTCCTCGTCTCTTCCCATACTTGCCCTTGCTCACTTTTCCCTGTGCTTCCTCAAACATGGTGGGGACAATCTGGCCTCCGGGCCTTGAATTCACTCTAGTCTCTCTTGAAATGCTCTCCCCCAGATAGCCATGCTCCTGGGTCAAAACCCTCATGGAAACCTGTCAGTAGTAAACACGATGGACTGTTGTCTATTTACATAAATATTTATCCCACCAGCACGCAAAGGGTGGTAACTCACCTCAATCTAGGTGTCATGTTACAATGATTTCATTCTGTGATTTAATTCTCACGTTAATCATGTATGCCCATTTTATAGGAAAAGAGAGCAAGGCTCAGAGAGATTAAGTCCTTTGCCTATAATAGTGAAGAAGAGCTGAAATTTAAAACAGGATCTAACTTGAAGGCCCATACACTACTCCTTTCCTTATACCATCATCATCATCATCATCATCATCATCATCATCATCTGTATCTACTATTTACCAGGTACCATGTAAGATGCTCCTGACACAATAATGAATTGAAAATGGTATATGTGCTCAGCCAGCTCTGTCTAGAGGGAGAGCCATTGTGTCACGCGGTTCTGAGCCATGGGCCTCTGTGCTGCAATGGGAAGCCAGCATGCTGGCGGCAAAGCAGAGTGCTCTGGAGGGAGCCAAGCGTCCTTCCCACGGGAAGGGATACTGTAAGTATGTAAGTATGTACAGCCTGTAACTAGAGGGAATGTGGTGAGAGACCAGAGAGGACCTCCCGCACGAAGAGAGCAGAGCTGTTCAAGTCACTGAGAAGGATGAGGAGCCACTCTGTTGTCCTCTGAGACCCTGTATTTTAGAAAACTGATATTCTAAATCTGTGCCTCTCAGTGTCAGTAGCCTCACAAGTTGCTGGGCAACAGTCAAAATTACTGCCTCGGTGAAAGCCCATTTTTGCTAGATCTTCCATTCCCTCCCCGCCCCCCAAAACTACAAAAGGATCTTGAAATTTGCATATTTATACGAAGTCCCCCAATGGTTAAATGCTGGCAATGGGTTCCTTGACATTAGAATACCTGTTTGCGGAAGGACATAGGTCTGCCGCAGGCAAATTTGTGAGTCCCAGCATAGCATCCGGAGTGGCCCCTGAGTCCCTCCGGCCATAGGAACCCAGCCCACAGGCCACGAGGTGGGGGCGGGAGTTCCCTGTGTCACTAAAAGGGGATGGAGTGTGAGGAATGTATTTGGAATATCTTGGATATGGTCCCAGAGAAGCGTGTCACAAGCAGGGATTGTGGGCACTGTGATTTGCAAAGGGGCCGTGGGAAGGGGACTCCGACTGAGTTCAGGAAGTGCATGGAAGACAGAGGTTCCGTGGCATCCTCATGTGGACTTCTTTGAAACAGTCTCACAAAGGCTCCCTCCCCTTTTCAGCGATCGTGTTTCTTAGAGCATTCAGTTTTTCAAAATTACAGAATTAAATGAAGAGAAATCAGTTGAAACATTCTTTTGACCATCTGTTTGTGCTCATTTCTCGGCAGCATGCTGACCTTTCTAAAACACGGATCTGATGATGAGTCCACCTGCTTAAAATCCCATGATGCGCTCCCTTTGTCCTGTAGGATGAAGCTCATCATGGCCCCTTCCTAGAGGGCCTTCGGATCCACTCGTACCTCATGTCTGGCATCTCCCATCTCCCCACCACCGTGCAAGGGCCGTTCCACCATGTGAAACGTGTCAGAACACTTCACACCTGAGTGCCCTCCGTGTGTTGTGCCGTCACCTCTTCCCGCTTCCTCCCATCCCCAAATTCCCTGTCAATTCCCTGTCCTCTGATTCCTTTCGAGCTCGGTTCAAATGCCACCTCCTCCAGGAAGTCTTCCTGCCTCCCTCTGGTCAGATTCAGCTGTGTATCTGCCTTCCTTCTACATGTACAGCCCTTTTGAACTGACAGTAGTATTTGTAGAATTTCTACCCCTGTCCCATCCCACGCCCAAACCTTAGACCGTATGCGCTTCTGAAAACACGGAGAGTTTCTTATTAGAGTTTGTATCCTCTTCCTCACTGGTCCTTCATATGCCAACACACTGTCAAAATGACGGTTCCATTCCCTGTTTGTGAGCCCAGCCTCTTTTCTCTCTGGCACCCTCCACCTCAGCCCACTTTCTGTAGACGACATCCTGTGGCTTCTTTACTGGTTTCTCAGCCTGGAAGCTACTCAGAGACCTTCTCAGCGGTTCTGCTCTGAGTTACCAACCCAGGGCCTGATACAGGCTCCTCTCGGCTGCCTGAATCGTCTTTTTCCATGAAGACCCACAGGGGAAATACAATCTTCACACACAGATGGGGACAGGTGTTTCTAGGTGCCTTAACTCTACGGTTGTTAATCCCCATAACAGCCCCAAAGGCAGTGAATGTCCATGTTTTATAGATGAAGAAGGCCCATCGAAGGCTGCTGGGGATTAAGCCCTAGTTCAGGACGAGGTTTTTGGAGAAGGGCTGAGGAGGGAGCTCCACGCAGTTGCTGGGTGCCGTGGAAGGCAGGGGTTGTGACCGCTCCTTCCTCTGATGTGGGGGCGGGGGGAGGCAGGGATCTGTAGGCTAAATGACAGGGAACTTGTGGGGATTGGAAAGCAGGGCAGAGAGCCAAATGCACCCATGTCTAGAAACAGAGCAGCTGAGCAAAGTTAGACCGACTCATGTGGGGAGAGATGGGTGGGCTTCGCCTTTCCTTTCCTTCACCTTCCCCACTTCCCCACTCACTTTCACTTTCTTTTCTGCCACTGCAGACCTTGTTTGGTTTTTAAATTTCAATAAGCTTGTTATGGAGTTAGTGCAGACTTACCTGCAGTTGTAAGAAATAAGGCAGAGATCTCATGAATACTTTACCCAGCTTCTCCCGGTGCTAAGATTCGCAAAACCATAGTGTAGCATCCCACCCAGGCTATTGACATTGAAAGGCTCCACTCATCTTATTCAGATCTCCCATTTTACCTAATCTTCTATGTGTGGTGGTGATGGTAGCGGTGGTGGTGGTGGTGGTGCGTGTGTGTGTGTGTATGTATGTTTAGTTCCACGTAATTTATTACTTGTGTAGGTTTGCATATACAACACCACAGTCAAGATACTGGACATTTCCATCATCCCTTGTTAATAAAATGTCATTTAAAAATGTCTTAGAAATGGAATGATTCAGTACTTATCCTTTCAGGATTTTGTCTTTCTCAGCATAATTCCCTGGAGATTCACCTAGGCTGAATTTGGGCCATGTGGGTGAGGTGGGAATAAGCAGGGTAGAGGGTGGAGGAGCAATTGCCCCACCTGGGGCCTAGTCTGCAGGTGTCCAGTCCACAAGCCATGTATTTGCCGGCTTGTGCCTAACTTGGGATGACCTATTCTTCTCTTAGGCACCTATTTAGCCCTGAGAGGTGATTCTGCATTTCCTTGGTTTTTTTATTTAAAAAAATTTTTTTTAACATTTTTAATTTATTTTTGAGACAGAGAGAGACAGAGCATGAGCAGGGGAGAGGCAGAGAGAGAGAGGGAGACATAGAATCTGAAGCAGGCTCCAGGCTCTGAGCTGTCAGCACAGAGCCTGATGCAGGGCTTGAACCCACAAACTGTGAGATCATGACCTGAGCTGAGGTTGAATGCTTAACCAACCCACCCAGGCGCCCCTGCATTTCCTTTGTAAGGTATTTTCTTACAATTAATGTTCTCAAATGGTTGCAAAGCCATAGCTTTTCTGTCTTGTGGTGTATTGCATCCAGATAGCTAAAGGCCAGTGGTCTTTGGGTATGTTAAGAAGATACCAAGTACACCACAGTGATTTTAAGTTCATCTGAGACTCTTTAGCATTTGGTGATTAAAAAAAAGTAGGCCAAAGAAAACAAAGTGTTTCAAAATTCATACTGCCCTTACTGAAGTCTTTAAATATCCTCAGTATTAGTTTTCATGAAATTTTAAATCTTTGGTATTTAAAATTTTAAACTGAAATCAATTTATGACTTTAACGTTTTATCTTAAAAACACTTAAAATTCATATCAGTTCATACAATATCTTTCCTTTTGAATTTTGTCTTAGTAAAAAAGCAATGTGTTTTTAAACTGAAAGGTGTAAGTATGGGACAATGGAAAGTTGCAGTGTGAACTAAGAATGAGTTAAAATTCTAGCGAGGCTCTATGACTAATTGAAGGAAAGTGATGACTCCATCCTAAATATGGATCATAATTATATAACCATATGCTAATATGGATAGGAATTTAAAAATAATTGTAACACATGTACCTTCTATAAAATCCAAACGGCAAATTCTTTCTTTGTAAATGATATTCAAAACTTTGTGTCCATGATGGCATATGGCTAAGAGGTTGGGCTCTGAAGTCATGCTGCTAGAATTCAAATCCTAGATCTGCCACTTATTAACTACGTGGCTTTTGCAAGTTTCTGAACATTTTGGCCTAAATTTACTCATCTTTAAAATGGGGATAATCAGAACTGTTACCTTTGGGCTTTTAATATGTATCAGGACTCTTTAAAATATTTTACATGTATTGCAATGAATTTTCATTAACATTTATATTTTGTTGACGAGAATCACAAAATCACAGAGAAGTGAGTAACTTGTTTGGGGTCATGCAGTTAGTTAGGTGTGTAACCAATACCGGCCCAGGCTCTCTCCTGCGTCTACGCTCCTCACTGTTTAACCAGTAAGCTAACCTCCCTGAACAAATGTCTTAGGGTGTCTACCTGGTGAGTTTGTGATGGTGATTACATAGGAAATCCATGTAAGCTTTGCGCAGTGGCAGTATCGTAGCCAATGAGGTTTATCCGAGGTGCGATTATTGCTAATTGAAAATCCATGTAAATGAGATTGTCTCCTAAATTGGGTGATTTATTTATTTGTTTATTTGTTTGTTTTTTAATGTTTTACTTATTTCTTAATTTTTTTTAATGTTTTATTTATTTCTAGGAGAGAGAGAGAGAAACAGCGCGAGCAGGGGAGGGTCAGAGAGAGAGGGAGTCACAGACTGAAACAGGCTCCAGGCTCCGAGCTGGCAGTCAGCACAGAGCCCGACGCGGGGCTCGAACCCACGAACCGCGAGATCATGACCTAAGCGGAAGTCGGACGCTCAACCGACTAAGCCACCCAGGCGCCCCTAATGTTTTACTTATTTCTAGGAGAGAGAGAGAGAGAGACAGCGTGAACAGGGGAGGGTCAGAGAGAGAGGGAGTCACAGACTGAAACAGGCTCCAGGCTCCGAGCTGGCAGTCAGCACAGAGCCCGACGCGGGGCTCGAACCCACGAACCGCGAGATCATGACCTAGCGAAAGTTGGACGCTCAACCGACTAAGCCACCCAGGCGCCCCTTGGGTGATCTATTTAAAGCCACAGTGCTTGGCACTTGGCACTCTAAAAATGCTAGCAGATGAGTTATTATTATTATTATTATCATTATTATCACCATTATGATTATTTAGCTTTTAACGTGGCTGCTAGAGTGTATTTAAAATACACAGACTCCAGATTATCTTTCGCTTTAAATCCTCATGAGGTCCATTCAAAAGTATGCAGTTGTTTCTAATTTAAAAATGTCTTTCTGGCATTCCCGATCGCTTTGATATGTATCGTTTCTAAACTGTGTCATGAAAAAGCTGTTCTGGTCTAATTTTAAAAATTTAATGTCTAGCACAATTTTTTTTTCCATCTCATAAATCCCTAAATTAGGACTATGAATGAATAGATCTTGAGAACGTATGAAATCAGTTTAAAAAATAAATGTGAAGCAGTGTCGGCAATAAGAATGTGCATAAATGTGACGGTATGTCAAAGGAGCGCTCACCATCAAGATGGACAGATTTAAAATTGTGTATCAGTGCTGAATCTTCTTCAGCACCAGCAGCCTGTCACTGAGCAGAGCAGCAACACGGAACCCTGCAGTGGATGAGTGTCAGACTACTTGATGTTGTCTCTTCTGCACGTCTTTTTCATGTTAGCTCCATGCTGGGTACCAAGGTCCTGCACAGCCCGTCTTAAGGGCCTCAGTTGCTTAAATCAACATCTCAGTTGTCATAAACTTGATTTTGTCTTATAACGTGCCCTCTTAAGACCTTTGCTGGTGAGATTTTTGGTTGACTGAGCTTCCCTGTAATATGAAAAACATCTTTCCCGTTTGGCTATTTTCCTATTTCCAAATCTGTAGCTCCATTCTGAAATCTGAGTTTCTTTCCCAGTAAAGCTTTTATTTTTCTTCTTTATAGTTGGCTTTCTCTTTTCTAATATCACCACACCTGTGTCATATTATCCTATAAATGCATATTGAGTGCAAATGTATTTTTCTCTTTGAGGGATATAAAGTAACATGTATTCAGAAATATGAATCCATTTCTACAGAGTATATGCAATCAATCATTTCATGAATGAATGAAACTTTGGTACTGTTCTGGTACTTTCAAACAGCTTCTTTATAATAATTCTGGATATTGATAAATTAGTATGCCATCAAACTATATGTATATAGCTCCCTTATGTAACAAGGACGTGTTTTATAACAGTTTCCCCCCAAAAGAATTTAAATGCAATTAGAGAATGAAATAGGTATGTGTGGATAAGTAAATATCTAGGCTAAATGGCTACTATGAATAAGAATCAGAAATGAATTTTGCAACTGGTAATATAATTTCTAAAAGCTGTTAGTTCAGGGGACTTGAGTTTTTGCCTTTCAAAGATGAACCAGCTGTTTCTCACCTCTGTGAGCAACGGGGAGCATATGGTGAAAGTCAATCATTTTAGTATATAGCACCTTTCACTCAGGCATGTCTAAAGACCTAATAGATGTTAAGCTCCTGCTAGACACCAACTCAATGGCACTTTTCAGAAAATGAACCATGCTCAGCCGGTTACACTGGAAGATTTTGGTGGTAATAGGTCTGCCAAGTAATCTTGGCAATCCTTCATTTCATTAGCTATGCCCTGGGGGCAAAATGAACGAATTGTGGTGTAAATAGTATCTCGAAGATCTCCCAATGTTAGGGGCGTGTGTGCAGCACACTTATGTCACTGCTAAAAACTTGAAGCCTCTGTCTACATCTGGGTTAAAAAAATGGGGGTGGGGTGGCTTAACCCACCCTCCATATTCAACCTCAGTTTCCCATTGAAACACAAGACCTTTTCCTGTCCTATTCTTAACTGGCTCAACAGTGCCGCACCCTACTTTAAAATCTTCCTTCTTCCCACTCCGGTTTCAAGACTATTTGACCGCAACCGCTCATCATCATCCTGGGAAGTCTACACTGTGCAATTGTATCACACTTTTCCCCATACAGCTCATCTACCAAAGGCTAAATAGTGCTCATTTCTTGAGGACGTTAGCCCCTTCTTTCATTTAACAAATATTTGTTGCAGGTCTGCTGTGATAGGGCCAGAGAAGAGATGGCAGTGGTGCCCCCTGCTCTCGTGAGGTGACAGTGTCTATCACCCACTCCTCTGTATCTGCGTGCTCTCTCTTGGATTCAGCTGGTCACGACTTTCACATGATCAACCCAGCCTATGCACATGCAAGTGTTCCGTGATGGTGAAAAACAGATTTAATTTATAAATGCTGACAGTGACAGCTCTTGACTATAAGAATTACATGGATTTTTGAGTCTGTGGAGTGGCCCACATTTGAAAATCTGCTTTTACCTTCTGAAAGCTGTACTTGGTCACAGATAATATGTTGTTCTGTCCATCTCTGGGCTTTTGAATGATTGCATTTCCGAATGAAAGTGTCAGTCATGGTTTTAATAACATGCAGAAACGAACTAGATGTGATAATACTTTAACTATTAAGATCTGCCAGAACGATGTGTGTTTCTAAAGGAAAATTCCAGGGCTTACGCAGAACATATGCAAGTCAGCTGACTTAGTCTGAGAGTCAGGCCCTGATCCATGTGTGAATGAAACAGGAGTAGAGATTGGCTCTAGGTCAGCAGGACAGAGGCAAGCAACAGTGGTTCTGCCAGAGGGAACAGAAGATAAAAGGGGACATTGGCCATCTTGCAAGAAGACCCATGTTTGAGATGAGTCTGAAGAGATGGGATGAGGTTGGGGTATTCAGCCTTTGGAGCCACCTTGAGGATCTTGGCCTTTATCGTGTTGGGTTACCATTGTCCAGTCTCACCATTATTCGCAAGGACCCCAACATCGGTTTCGTTGATTGTTCTCAACACTGGTCTTAGGATTCCTTTACCTCTCTCATTACTCCTTCACAGCAGCTGTGACGATAGTGGACAGCACAAAAACTCTTAGTCTGTTTCATCCAGAGTTCCGCAGAGAGTGCTAAGGAAGGGACCAAATAGGAAAAGTTTCACATAAGAGCTGAAATTTGTCCATCATCCTGTTGACAGAGATGGACACTGGAAGCCGTGCCAATACTGATGTCATTTGTGCAAAGGTGGCCAGCAGAGATTTTAACATAGGGTGGGGATGTAATCACTTTGCTCTCTTAGAAAGATACTTCTCACAGGCAATTTGGAGAATGAACTAGAGCAGGGAGGGGCTTATGTCAGATATAAGGAGAACCCCAAATTCATGAACTGATTGGCAAAAAGAGTGCTAGATGGATGAAATTTCCAAGGAGAAAGATTTATAGGATTTGAAGAACAAGGAAAGCCAAAGGTTACTTACAAGAGTTCTTTCTTGGCTGAGAAGGATACATTTGGGGGTGAAGAAAGAGAATTAAATAGAATGAGGAAGAAGAAAGGACAATCAGTGGGCTTTGGGATAAGTTGAATTCAATGTGTGGTTACTAGGACGTCCAAAATGTCTTCAATTTCCCAACCCCCATTTCTTCTCATATTTCTTCCTCTAATAATCCACGATTTACTCATCTATGCCAATTTTAGGACTTTGGCTCGTATTTTTAGTTTCAATCTTTCCTGAACTCCAGCTTTGCATTTTCAGATTCCTGTCTCACATCTGTACTAGAATGCCCTGGGAGACCTTAAGTTCAACATGTTTAATTGGAACTCTTCAGTTGTTCCCAAATCCATTTCCTCAGCAAAAACCCCTAGCTCAGCTAAGATATCCTCCTTTACCTCATCCCCAGAGCTCAAAACCAAGGTGTTATTTTCAGTGCCTCCTCTATCACCCCCATATCCAAACCATAACTGAGTTCAGATAACTCTATTTCCAAGACTGGCTTCACTCTGGTTCCCTTCTTTGCCATTTACGTTGCTATTGTCATAGTTTGTGCCTTCGGTATGCCTCAACTGTCTTCCCTACCACCACTCTCTTACTTTCGTTTCCTCCTCCATGTGGATGCCCAACCCATTCTCCCAATGCTCAGCTCTAATCATGCATCTCCTAGGCAAATAGCCACAACAGAACCACACACCTTTGATAATTCTCCTTTGTCTCACAAAATTTCCAACTTATTTTCACAGACTCGGTGTACTTTCATGCTTTGGCCCCAGCCTACTTTTCCCTCTTTACTTTCACCATGATACTTCCTGCACCCAATGATCCATTCAAAATCAGCTGCTTGCTGTTTTTCTCTCTGATTGAATGGTTCACCTCTGGGGGCGCCTAGGTGGCTCAGCCAGTTTAGTGTCCAATTTTGGCTTAGGTCATGATCTTGCAGCTCGTGAGTTCAAGCCCCACATCAGGCTCCGTGCAGATAGCCCGGAGCCTGGAGCCTGCTTCAGATTCTGTGTCTTCCTCTTTCTCTGCTCCTCCTCAGCTTGCACTCTGTCTCTCTCTCTATCTCAAAAATTAATAAAAACACTTAAAAATTTAAAAAAAAAGGTCCAGGTCTGTAAACTACGTGGTGCTTGGATTGCTGCTCAGAGCACTGTAGGCACTCAACAAGTGCATCTATGTTTTAAACCAAGGTGAAAATAGCTGTGTCATCGTGGATGGGTAATATAGTCTTTTTTGTTTTTG